GCTGTTGAGGAATTGGTTGAGGTGCGAATTGATACAGAACAGCCGGGCAAGTTCTTCTTGCTCGGTTCAAGTCTCACGGCCATTGAGAGGACCGAGATGGTTGAGTTTTTGATGGCCAACATCGAAGTCTTCGCGTGGTCGCCTTACGACATGCCTGGCCTCGACCCAAGTTTTATCTGCCATCACCTCAATGTCAAGTTTCTGGGATTTAGAACAAGGAGATCGGCGCTGCATCACGCCGAGGTAGTTGCAGAGGAGGTAAAGAACCTGCTTGAGGCACGAGCAATTCAGGAAGTGCACTACCCTCGGTGGATTTCCAACACAGTAATGGTTCCGAAGAAGAATGGAAAGTGGCGAGTTTGTGTCGACTATAAGACAGTCAACCGAGCTTGTCCCAAAGATAGTTTCCCTTTGCCGCGAATTGACCAGCTCGTGGACTTGACGGCTGGACATAATAGGCTCAATTTCTTGGATGCCTACCGCGGCTACCACCAGATCGCCATGCATGGGCCTGACCGAGAGATCACCTCTTTCACGACTCCAAGAGGACTCTTCTGCTACCGAGTCATGCCTTTTGGTTTGAAGAACGCCGGGGCAACCTTTCAGAGGATGAGAGGATGCTTGGCACTTGTTCCGTAGGTGTACTTGCACTATTCGTCATATCATGCGGGAAGGTAACAAATGTGCTGATCTCCTTGCCAACATGGGGGCTGATCAAAGGGACCAGTTGGTGATGGTGGATGATCCTCTTGCTGGAGTTCGGAGCCAAGTAGTGGCAGATATGATTGGGACGGCATATCGTCGAATCTAGGGTGGCTGTGCCTGCTCTTGCATTGTTTTCTTTTTCTTTTTCTTTTTTTTTTGCTTCTTGCTTGTGTTTCCCTTTCCGATGTACCCCAAAAAAAAAAAAAAACATTCATAATATTAATCAATTATGTCATATTATTTGAATTTTTTTTCAATAACTAAACTAATATTTTGCTAGAAATTTTTTACTCTTATTTCTATAACTGCTTTTAGATGTAGATAACGATATATGGTCCTCCTATAGAGAAGGCTGAGTTTGAGAAGTTGTTATCATTATTACATCTTCTGGTGTACAATAATGTTAGAAGGGGATTGTTAATGAATAGACAAGACAAGTTGAGAGATTACTTGATTTTTGAGAAACATCACATAACATGTCGTTATGTATTAATTTAATAATAGAGATAAATTTGATATTCTTTTTAAATACAAATAAAATTATAACATGATATTTTTTATCTAACATATGATCGAATTAAAACTCTCAATTTATTTTATATATATATATATATATATATAACAAAAATGTCAATTTTGATCGATTATAAATACATACCAATTGAGCTAAAATCATTAATGTTTGAAATTCATAAAAATCTTTCACAATTTTGACTCGCAATAATATAATGTGATAGATGTCAAATTTTAATTTGTTACATATAAAAACCCAACTCTCTTATTACATTATTACAAATAAATTTATGAACCTACAATTATGAATTTCCAACATTACATCAAACTTTTGTTATGTCTAACATCTAAATGATTTTATTAATAATTTGTTAAGAGAGAGAGAGAGCGCGCGCGTGCATGATTGACATCTAATCAATATAATGATTTCAACATTATTATTTTTCCTCCCCTACCACTTTAAGAAATGAAACTTAACCCCTCAAATAAAAATTTAATCATTCCATTAATTATGCTTTGACCCACAAAGGACTAAATTGGCACTCTTTTACAATAATCAGTCCTTGCTAACACTATTCTTATTATTTAATCATTTTACTAATCACTAAAATGAGACAGGTCACAACTCTCCTTCTCTTAAGGCTGTGTTTGGTTCAAGAATTTGTGAAGGGATTTGAAAAGAAAAAGAGAAAGGAGAACAAAAAAAAACGGTGAAATGTGCATAAAATACACTTACATTTCACATTCTTTTTTTCTTTCTCTTTTCAAATCCCCCTCTAAATCCTTCAACTAAACACTGCCTAAAAGAATTTTGCCTGAAATTTACTTACCTTGCTAAAACAAACAAGGGTATTGGGCCATCATATTTTACTCACTCTCCTAAGTTGTTTTCTCCTCCATAAGACTTTCACCAACAATATAGTCTTGTATGGAGAACCTGATCCTTGCGATCCAAAATCTGAATTGCCTTCTCCTCAGTCAAGGCTTTTTGGGTTTTAGTCCTAACCAAAAGATTGTTTTGATCAAAGATAAATGAAGAAACGAGCGGTTGAAGAAACAAATCCATACAATATACCCTGCAAATTTACATGCGCATTTGTACAAGTGTATTGCACCATATAACTAGTATATCTAAATGAGAAATATGAAGAACTGAACAACTGAAGAAGCAAAATCCAGAACAAATCCATACAAGTTAGCACAGAAACAAAGGAAGTGAATGTGAAACACGCAAATACTAGGAAAGTTATCACAGAGATGTCAATATATAGCAATGAAATGCCTCAAATAAAATACAAGCAAAAAATTCAAAGCCTAAACAAATCACAAATTACAACCCATGTAACAAATATTGAGGTTGTTCCAATGTAAAATAATGAACAATTCCCTAAACATGAAAGACCTGCTTGGTTGTATTTCGTTTTTTTGGTTGCAGACAAAACAAAGGCATATAACTAGTCTGTAATTTTTATTTTCTGAATGTTGTTTTCAATTAAGCAAAATTGAACTTGGTCTGACTTGTACAATTACATTTTTTCTTCTTTTTTTCGAGTGATACGTAGAATTTTCCCAATCATGTCAGACATCATGCCAATGTTTTGTTTTTGTGTTCATTCTGGATTTCATAAACAAGGGCGAGTGCCTTTCAAGACCACCATATACAATGCAAATTAAGATGGACTACAACTATTAGAGGACACGGACCTTGCAGAGATTTTACAGATGTGGTTTTAGTTGTTCTTATAATGTAGTTCATCATCGTATGCATTCAAATGTATTAGAGACAAACAATAAGCAAGGAGGGCTCAATGTCATGGTTGTGACAAGAATTTTCTTGAGTAAGAAAATATATCAAATGCTTTAACATTTGATTGCATTGCAACATATTGTTCTTTATTTTGGATAGTCCTTCCTGACAGGATTCATCAAAGGAAATAAGCCAAAACCCATAAAAACACTTAAAAAACATGAAAAAAGAAGCAAAAACGACTTTACTCTTAGCGACCATGGAGTCCATGAATACACACGTAGCAAAAATTCAGTATTTTGATTCATGCGAATCAAAGAGAACATCATATCCCATTCATAAAAAAGTGTAAAATGTAGACACATTTGTATCACACAAAACACAAAACATGTAATGGGAGTACATAATCGTAGTAATGTTGACATCACTTCCCCCAACAATACCCAGTCCACTCTTCTTCCCCAAACGTCGCATCAATAGTGGTCACCGTTTACTGGGAGGAGGAAGAAATCAAACATGATCGTAAAAAGAAAACACTGCAAAACCCATATTGCAGGCATAGATGACACTATGAAATATATGGGTCTGAAGAATTTGAACTCCACCCAACAGAACCCTTTAGTCAATTTTGATTATATTTTATACCCCAACCAATGCAACTCCATTGATAGTGAAATTAAATAGTATTAGTGGGATTTGCATTCAACTCTTCTGCAACATTAAATCTTTTTTTGTGCTTCTAAAAGAAGCATTTGTTCAACTTTTTAAAGACTAGGGTTCAAAAAACAGGAAAAATCTTAACATTGTTATGGCGTATATATGCCTCAAAAGTTATTTGTTTATAACTTTTGCTAGAAATTTATGTTTCCATCCAAT